AATCCCAAATACTAGTAATTTGGAATTTTGGCGTCCCAAATCCCAAATGATTTGGGATTTGGGCAACACGTATAGCTACAGCTACTTTTATATTTCTTTTTCCTCCATCATTTCCATTATTCATTCTACTCCATCATTTCTATCATTGTACAATTCCATCATTTCCATCATTGTACAACTCCATCATTTCCATTATCTGTACTTCTCCATCATTTTCATCATTTGTACTTCATCATTTTCATCATTTGTATTTCCATACCACATGTTTTTTGCGCTGCTATCTTCGTACTACCTTATCAATCTTTCGTCGTCACCACAAATATTTCCTCCTTCAAAGGGGAGCTCCTGCGACCCTACGTCATTATTCAGATAATTTAGAGTTGTCCGCGAATTTGTTTTTCCACACATTTGCACCAATCTTTCGTACTCTTGTCTCAAAAGTCTGTATAACCAATCAGGTGTAACACTATAGAGATCCTTCAGCCGTAACATTTCGGCTCCTTGTACTAATCCTTTTGCCCTCAAGGCTATCGTTCGTATTCATGAACTATTCTGATATGAATACGTTCGAAATTCCTGTTCTATCGATATAGTGGTTCGTTCCATCTGGGCAGTGTGGATATAATCCCCAAGACGTCTGTAAGCATTTACCCGTTGTCCGTTTGAATTAGTGGGGTTTATTGCGATAGATAATAGACCTGTTATATCAGAATCAGACATATCCTTCTTTGAATCGTATCCTTCTTCTGAAGTAGTCATTACGTCCATAACGTAGGGAAACAACATATCGTCACTAACGGATTCCATTAAATTCATTACGTTGTTTCCAAGTATCACATACGCACCCGTACTATCAATGATAAGCTGTGCATCTCTGGCAAGTACCATTAATTCTTCACGTATTTGTCTTATCTTTCTTCGTAAACTTTCAGGAATTTGCATTTTGTTATTATTATTATATATATATATATTTTTTTTTTCTTTTTTTTCTTTTTTTTTTTAGACGAATTCCTTGAATTTGAAGTCTTTTAATATCTATTCATCATTCCTTCCATCTTATGTAAGATAAATTGCCTTTGTTTATATGGTTTCAGCTGATTACCATGCACGGGACGATTATTAAGCACTTCCTCTTTCATACTCCTTAATATGTATGATCTGTTACCCAAACATCGATGAATGTAATACAGTCCTGTCCATCTGCTTCGAAATTTATTCCCATGACCTTGCTGCAAGTCGGATCAATATTCCAACACTAGGTCACCGACTTTATAGGTGATAGCCCTTATCTTCCTATCATAGGTCTTCTTCTGTTTTTCTTAGGTGCCTTTTATATTTTTAGCAACTTTTATTTTATTGTCAGTAAATACTCCTATAATTTCACCAATTCTTCTAATAATCAGTTCTTCGTATTGGCTTTCGTTAATAGACTCCGATGGTCACGTTAAGATATCGAGTTCCACTGATAGAGTAGGAGTTCAGCCGTACAAAAGATAAAAAGGTTCGTATTTCGTAGTATTATTCCTTATAGTACAATACGTGAAAAGAACTGGGGGTATTAACACGTCCCAGTCATAAATCGTATCTTGCATACATTTCGTTAAGGTTCGACATAGCGTTTGGTTAAAATGCTCCATTAAACCATTGGTCTGCAGGTGGTATGCAGAAGTAAGTCTGTAGTATGATCCTATTATTTCCACTAAATTTGCTACCACCTGACTTAAAAACACCGTTCTCCTATCGGAAAGTATCTCTTTAGAGCATCCATGTCGACATATAACTTTGTCATATATAAACCATGCAACAGTTATTACATCAGCCCTTTCAATGGCTCTTGCCTCCGGCTACTTCGAAAAATAGTCTGTGGCCACTACGATATATCTCTTTGTCGTAGAAGTCAGCTTTAGGAGGTCCACAATATCAATTTTCAATTGGTCAAATGCTTGTCCTACTTTGATTGGACGCATTTCCTCAGTTCGTATGGGCTTGCTCTGTCGTTGACAAGCATTGCAAGTCTCTACATAATTTTTAACATCTATACCCATAGAGGGCCAATAATATCGTTGTCTAACCCTATCCATTGTTGCCTTTATACTGAAATGTCCCGCACTCGGTGTACTATGCATATTATGCAGTATTCTAATTATGTCGTCTTTCAATATTACTCGTAACAGGTCACCGTCTTTGCTACGTCTAAATAATATATTATCGTAAATGATATAATAATTTGCCTGTTTCCTCAGTTGCCGTCGTTGTTCGCTTGTTCCGTATCCATTGTCGAATTTTGCAGATTTTCGATATATCTGAGACCTCTCTTTTTTCTGTCTTGTTGTATTTTTTTTTTTTTTTTTTTATAGTTGAATTCGGGAAAGGGCATCCACATTAGCGTTGAGCCTTTCCAGCTTATGAATTATATTATAATCATACTCGAACAGTTAGAAAATCCATCGGGTAATTCTTTTGAGGTGCGAGCAGTTCTTTAATCAAGTAAGTGCGGCGTTATCGGTATACAAATCGAACTTGGGTCCGTGCAAGTAATGTTTAAAATATTGTACGGCCCAAATGGTGACAAGGCACTCTTTCTCCACAACAGTATAGTTTTGTTCGGCGGTGGCTAGAAGACGGCTGGCATAAGCAACGGGGTGTTCTTGATTCAAATCGTCCTTCTGAGAGAACACAGCTCCAATTCTCCAGTCGGACGCGTCTGTGGCAAGCATGAATTATTTTGAAAAGTCAGGATAAATCATTATCGATACTGAAATGAGACGATTCTTTAGCAAATCGAAAGCAGATTGGTGTTCGTTCTTCCAATCGAACATGGCGTCTTTCTTCATAAGATTATGTAACAATTTTGCAATAGTAAAAAAATCTCGTACGTATTTTCTGTAATAGGATGCTAGTCCCAAAAAAGCACGAACCTCAGTCTTGTTCTTAGGGGTAGGGTATCGTTGAACTTTCTCTATCTTCGCTGGATCGGGAGCTATTCCTTCAATCGTTACCACGTGTCCCAAAAATGCCAATCTTGTTCGGAAGAAATCACACTTTTCTAAATTTATTTTTAGTCCTGCTTTTCCTAAAAGAGCGAAAGCAGTTCTCAAGTGATCTTCATGTTCTTCACAGTTTTTTGAGTAGATGATAATATTATCTACATATACTAGCACGAATTTCCATATTACTTCATGAAATACTCGATCCATTACTCGCTGAAATGTCGCGGGTGTATTAATAAGTCCAAACGGCATTACCACAAATTCGTACATACTGAAAGGGGTGGTAAAGGCGATCTTCTCACGATCCTTATGTGACACTTCCACTTGCCAAAACTCAGATACTAAGTCGAGCGTCGAAAAGAAAGCAGAGTGTCCCAAGGTGTCCAGCATATCAGCTATCTTTGGAACAGGATAGGCGTCGGGCTTAGTCATGGCGTTAAGCTTCCTGTAGTCAACACATAACCTAAACTTTCCATTTTTCTTGTTGACTACTACTGTAGATGCCGACCATGGGCTGGATGATCTCTGTACCAACCTGTCTCCGATTATACGCGCGATTTCCTCCTTCAAAAATTCTAAGTGTCGAGGTGAAGTTCTGTATGGGTGTAACTTAATAGGTCTCGCTTCTCCAGTATCTATTGTATGTACGCAGACATTAGTTCTTCCTAGTTACGAAAGATCGCTAGTCACCAGTCCTGGAAATTCTACAATAATTTTGTTCACTAGTGGCTTGTATTCATTTTCTGCAAGTATTTCTGTTCCCCCTTGAGCCAGGTTCTCGCATACATTATAGATTTCGTTCCGCAGCACCATCGAAACGGCTTCTCAACTTTGTAATCGCTCTCCGCATTCTTTACACTTATCTTCCTTAGTTTTGAGATATTTATTGCACCAGCAATAAGTATTCGGTCCTGTGGCCTTTCGCTGTTCTTGCATATGTCTCTTCCTTCTGATGACATCGAAACAGTATGTAAGATAGTCATAGATCTCCTATGTTATGTATCCCGAATTTGTTCGTATTCCTTCAAAAGTTACATTAACTTCTTGTCGCGGTAAGTTATAGGTTAAACCTACAAAGTTTGCTTTCTCTTCATCTTCCTCCATATCCGTTTCTCCACTACTTTTCACATAATCTTCACTTCCGCTATCAGTATCATCATCACTTTCTAATATTATTGTATTCGTATTTCTACAAGGAATTTCTACGGTGTTTTCGTCATTCTTCAATGTTAACTTACATTCCTGGTAGTCAATAATCGCATTCACTTTTCTTAGCCAGTCGGTACCAAGGACTAAAGTGTATCCAGTTACGCTTATGACTTCCATATCTGTTGCCACGGTTACGCTTTCTAGCTTAACTTGTACTTGAGTTACTACTCCCATACTGAAGCGTCTTTCGCCATGGATGCTAATTATCTTCTTATCAGAGGACTTATCAATCTTCCTTCCTAATGACTTCATAAAGTTCTCCAAAATAACGCTAATAGAAGAGCTGCTATCAAGTATAATATCGACCTTCCAACCTGCTACTTGAGCCTTACATATCATTGGAATGTTCTCTTTCACTTTAGTGTGATTAGCCATTTTCGTAACCTTCGTTCGTCGTAGAACAAGGGCCTTTCGTACTTCGTTACGATATGGCAGCAATTCCATTAGTTGTTCCAAGGTAATACTAGCTTTCGTAGACAGTAAATCTGAAACAATAGAATAGTGCGGAGCGTTCTGTACTATGGATGCTGTTGGACTGGAAGCGCTTTCTTCTTTTTCTTCTGTTGAAGTTCCTCCACTATTTCCTTGTACACCTTTGATCTCAACCTTTTCACAATGGGCTGATTCGCTTGCTTATTTCTGGCTTCTACATCTCCTCCTGCCGCTACGTCCGTCTTTTCTGTTTTGTATGAGGGATTTGTTTCTTTCACACTCTCACTCTCCAGAGGTACGCTTAGTGGTTTAAATGCTGTATTCTTTTCCAGACAGTAGCGGCCAGTAGTCTACTTAATTCTTCTTGAGCCACAAAAGTATTATTTCCGTTGTTCCATAATGTTTGAGGTGCAGCTTGTCTCGTTGTAGTATCGACTTACAGTTCCTCTGCTTTACTTTGTTCTTGCCTCCGGGGATCAATGGGGTTTCTTTGATGAATTATCCTTGTAGGGCATCCTCGAGCCATATGCCCCGCCTGTTTACAAGCATAGCAGCGGGGTGTATTACTGATATTATTACTCCAATTTCCCATATTTCGTTCTCTGTTATCAAAAGCATAGTTAGGTCGTCCATAAAACGTATTCGTTGACCTATCGTTCTTTTTCACGATCTTCCGTAACATTTCAACTATTGGAGTTAGGACCCTTTGTACTGCTCACTCCACCACATCTTCCTTATCATCAATTTTATCGCAGGGAGGCGTAAACGGAATATTCACAAACAAAGTGGCACTATACTCAACTACTTTAGGGTAAGTCTGTACATTATCTTCAAACTGTTTTGCAATTCTGACCGCAGATTTCAACGTAGGGTTCTCTTGCGACAGGATCAACGGGCAGGCCTGGTAAACAATATCCTTTCGTAATCCCTTCAAGAATTGCCAGACCTTTTCATCACTGCTCCACCTGTTTTCACCGTCAATTCTCTTTATCAATTTCTTTACGTCGTTGGCGTACTGCTCCACGGTTTCGCTCAGTTTCTGTACCTTCATTTGTAGTTCAAATCTCTATTGGTTAATGAGTACGGTAGTCTTGAAGGTGACTAAAAACGAAGGTTCGAATGAAACTCGCTTTCTCTCGTTCCAATGTGTAATAGGATTTCGTCCTCCTTGGGTTTCCACAAAACATTGTCCTGCGGCACTTTGCAGGTATCTACTGACTACACGAAGCTTATACTCGTCAGTGTACTGGTTTATTT